TGAAGTGAGATGTGCAACATCATGTAACTGGTTTTTCACTTTTTTAAATACCGAGCAATTTCATCATTACCTCTCTGAGCAGCCAGATTTTCTAAATGTATCACATAAATGCCAAATTTATCCAGCACTAATCTCAAGGTTGCCAGTTTGAATGAAATCCATCATATAACACATGCTCTTTTTGGTTTTACCTATCCTTCCACAAAGTCAAATTTACACTTCACAAGTTCGCAAATTGACTTTAGTTCCTGCAGTTTCTTAGGGGATTTATGGTAGATATAATACTTGCTTGAAGTATTTTGGCTGAAGAGAATTTTTCATGGCCAGCTCTAATTTATGAACCAAACACCATTGAAAAATTAACCATGGTGATTTCTCTTGAAGCAAGGTCTTCATACCACTTTTATCCTCACTATTCACTGAGGGTCTATCTGCATCAAATCCAATAAGTTTTGAAAAAGCTGATTATCTGTTGTGCCCAGAGAAGCAAAGCTTGATTCAATAGCTGATTTAATTCCTGCTGCATCTGCTTTCTTGATATCTTTTAAGCAAAGAAGTGAGAGTTTGACTCCAACATGCTCTTCAGAATGTTCTGGGTCAAAATACAATACATAGACAACCTCTTTCTCTGTTACACTTCAGTCTGTTGCTCCATCTACTCAACACGTGGTAAAACTTTGCTTGTTGCAAATCCTTCTCCAGTTTATCTGTTAGATATTTGACATGCAAATCTCATACCCAGGTTTCTCTTGCAAGTTTCCTCGAAGCCACTAGCTTGAGTACATGTTCATAAATCATTTGAGAACTTTATCAGTGTTGCTTGTACCTGTTTGATTTTGTTTTCAAATCTAACTGGTCAAATTCACAGGATGAATATTTGGAAACAGCATTGTAAATTGAGATATTGGCCAGCCATGGGTACTGTGCTGGACAAAATGTTCAGTACTGATACAACTGTTCTGGACAAACACAGTTTTTGTGCTGGACATTGTTCATGTCCAACTACTTCCTTTCAGGCTTGGATTTGACCACCACCCTTATAATGCACCCACACTGGACCTGATGATTAACAGCTGGCACATTAACCACTGACCATGCTTGGTTCTAGTCCTTCACATTCATAAAAATACCCATCAAAATTTTAAAATAATCAAACTACTTGCTTACATCACACAACCATGAACGTAATTCTGCAAGATAATAACTGTCTGTACCAAGATGTCAGCTAATACAAATACATATTTTAATATACATTACTCAAGATATTTAACTAGAAAACAGTATTAAATTTGGAATAATTTCAGCAGAGGAAATTAATGATGTATAAATGGATGTTTTCCTAGTACAATAATGCACAATAACCTGTGAATCCTCTAATTAGGTGAATAATAAAAGTTATTGTTGTACTTTGCCAATATTGTGTGAGAGAGAGAGCATTTGTTCAGTAGCACTGTTAACTGTGAAGAACAGTACATGTTCCATATCAAATGTCAGATCTCCAGATCTAATTCTGTTACAAAATGATTAGATGAAAATAACAGAGCCACAATGGACATTCTACTACAACACAATAAAGTTATTTTCTTCAGTAACTTGTGGTCTTTTTACTGTCTCTAAAAAAAATTATTGTAGTAGTAGTAACCCTAATTAGATGTTTGGGTAAAAAAAATATATTCTTGGGAAGTTGATATGTTTTTTATAATAATCCCCTTTACTTACAATGTCATCCTCATTACTATGTTACTTACTCCCTACTTATGACCATAAAGATCCAAGTATTTTTAAAATGTGAGTATCACAATATTCAGGCTTTATTAACACAAGAAAGCAAAATATTGTTGTTTTACATCAAATACAAATGACAACACTTAATAAAAGTAAATTTTATGTTATCAAATTATTATTATAAAGTATATTTTACACAATTGTACTTAATAAATAAACTTAGTACTTCGAAAATTGTTTAATTTCAAAGTCTAAGTTCAAGGGAGGTCCATTTCAATCTACACTTTGATCAACATGTGTTATTGGGTTATACTCGTTTTGGAGAATTCCACTCCTCATCAGTAACCCTGAACACAAGTTAACCAAAGAAAGGTAACTTGGACCTATATCATAGTGAAAAGTATCCAACATACTGTTGGTGTTAAAGTGCTTTGTAGACACAATGAGAAAAACCTATACACTGGATAGGTGAAGTGAAGGGAAAAGTGTCATTGGCCACTATTCAGTCCTTCACATTATATAGCCACACAAAAACAGATATGTAATAAATAAACTGAGTATTCTGAAAATTGTTTAATTTCAAAGTTAAGTTCAATGTGCACTTTGAAGAAGGAGTGTTATTGAGTTATACTAGTTTTGGAGAATTCCACTCCTCATCAGTAACCCTGATCAGTCACTACTGATTGATTCCTTTAAAAATCTTAACTCCAACAGATCTCCTATAACTTTTCTGGTATTAGTAATGAGTGCAGCTAATGAAATATACTCTTTTTTTCTGTTCGTACTTATAAAGGTTAGAATGCATTGATTTATCAGTTGGGAACCTTCATTGTTAACAGTATTTTTGGCCATAATATACAAGATTATTAAAAACTGTTAATTTAAAAATGGGAATAGGGATCGTAAAAAAAAACAGAGAAACAAGACAGCTCCCTTAATGTCTGAGACACAAGATAAATACAAAATTGTGAATTTAAAAACCTGCAAATAGGGATAGTAACCAAGGTAAGCATAGAAGGTTGTAGATATTGTAAACATTATTTACTCAAGCTACAAATCACTATTTTGACTCCATGCTGTGAACTAGAATTACACTGTAGAAAAGCAGCCCTTTCAAATAAAACATATACATCTAAAACATTGCTTTAAATAAACTTTCATGTCTTTTACAGTAATTATTCTATGAATGTGTGTGATAAAATTTAATATTTTGTGTTTTTTTTTTTTTACACCTTCACTTCATACATAATATAGAGGTTGGCTTCCTAAAGACATCGATTGTATCATGTACAAAGCATTGAGTATCTACATGTTACAGTCATCTAATGATAATCTATTATTGGCTGGTGATTCCTGTTTCACCTTATACTCAAGCTTCTCAAAGGAACACCAAATATTTCTAAGAAAACTACCTTCAAAGAGTAATGATAGCATCATTTACACTAGAATGATTTTTTGGTTTATGAAAAATACAGAAACAGGGCTTGAACTTAGAGGGTGCCCAGGAGCCAATGGCTCCCATAGATGCCACTGGGCCAGTAAAAAGTGTCTGCTAGGTAGCCCACATGGCCCCTTAAAATTAAAAGAGCCACTAACAGTTTGACTCCACACAAATTGATCTAAGTGTTTCTTAGACGAGCAGAACTTATGACAAACCATGAACATACCTTCCCAAATTTATGAACACTCCTCAGTAATGTACAATCCACAAACATCATTACTATGAATGCCTGTGTATTCAAAGTAAATGCACTTTCATTAACACTTTCAGCACAGGATTGGTCCCTGGGACCGACCTCATAACCATTTTGTGCTTGTTAACAAATTTTGTCAGATTATCAAGTAAACATTACAATGCCTTCATAAGTAAAATATCAAAT